GCAGCAGTTGAAGATACAGGGATCTCTACTTTGTGGCATCAAAGACTTGGGCACATAAGTGAGAATGGAATGAAGATGTTGTCCTCAAAGGGCAAAATCCCAGATTTGAAGAATTCAAAGTTGACCTTTTGTGAGCCATGTGTTCTAGGCAAACAAAAGAGGGTAACCTCTGTGAAGACAGGACAACAACCCAAGACTGAGCGGCTGGAGTTGATTCATTCAGATGTCTATGGACCTACAAAGGTCTCTTCAATTGGAGGTTCCCGCTACTATGTTACATTCATTGATGACTCTACACGAAAGGTATGGGTTTATTTTCTTAAAAATAAATCCGATGTCTTTAACACTTTTAAGAAGTTCAAAGCTGCAGTTGAGAATGAAACAAATCTCAAAATTAAGTGTTTAAAGAGTGATAATGGGGGTGAGTATAGTAGCACAGAGTTTGTAGAGTATTGTGCTGAACAGGGGATCAGAATGCTGAAGACGGTTCCAGAAACACCACAGCAAAATGGTGTTGCAGAGAGGATGAACAGAACATTGAATGAGAGGGCCAGAAGCATGAGATTGCATGCAGGACTTCCCAAGATGTTCTGGGCCGATGCAGTGAACACAGCATCATACTTGATCAACAGAGGACCCTCATCTCCCATTGGTTTCAAAATTCCAGAAGAGGAATGGAAAGGTCGTGAGGTATCTCTTAATCACTTGAAAGTTTTTGGTTGTATTTCTTATGTCAAAGTCAGAGATGCAGATAGTGACAAGCTTGAGGCAAAGGCAAAGAAGTGTATCTTTATTGGGTACGGGTCGGATGACATGGGCTACAGGTTCTGGGACAACCAAAGCAAGAAGGTTATCAGAAGTAGAGATGTCACCTTCAACGAGAATGCTCTTTATAAAGATGGTCTTGCAGCAGGAACAAGCAAAGGCAAGCAACCGGAAAACAAACAGCAAGTGGTGTTTGAAGGGATGACTGAAGATGACATAGCACAACCGGTCGGTTGTGATGAGACGGCTGGAGGCTCAGGGAGCAGTGGGAGCTCAGGAGATACAGGAATGTCTGAAGATAGTGGGAGTGATGTAGACAGTGGGAGTTCAGAGGCAGCTACTCCACACATCAGACAGTCCACCAGAATCAGGAGACCTCCTAACAGGTATTCTCCTTCAGCAAATTATCTATTGCTGACCGAGAATGGCGAGCCAGAATCTTACTCAGAGGCGTTGGCTATAAGAGATTCCATACAGTGGAAGAAGGCCATGAAAGATGAGTTAGATTCACTTGACAAAAACCAAACTTGGTCCTTAGTCAAGTTACCACCGGGAAAGAAAGCATTGGAGAACAAGTGGGTTTTCAGAATTAAAGATGAAGCAGATGGGAGCAAAAGATACAAGGCCAGGCTAGTTGTCAAGGGGTTCCAACAGAAAAAGGGGGTTGACTACAATGAAATCTTCTCCCCGGTTGTGAAGATGACCACTATCAGGTTGATTCTTGGCATCGTTGCAGCTGAAAATTTACACTTGGAGCAGCTGGATGTGAAGACTGCTTTTCTTCATGGCAACCTTGAAGAAGACATTTACATGGCTCAACCGATAGGTTTCTCAGTGAGTGGTAAGGAAAAGTTGGTGTGCAAACTCAAGAAAAGTCTATACGGACTGAAGCAAGCTCCCAGACAGTGGTACTTGAAGTTTGACAGTTTCATGCAGCGGAATGGGTACACTAGATGCAAGATGGACCATTGCTGTTACTTGAAGAAATTCAAGTCATCATACATTATTCTTCTTTTGTATGTTGATGACATGTTGGTGGCTGGATCAAACATGCAGGAGATCAACGAGCTCAAGAAGAAGTTGTCCGAAGAATTTGAGATGAAGGATTTAGGGGAGGCGAGACAGATTCTTGGGATGAGCATAGTTAGAGACAAGGTGGAAGGTACTTTAAAGCTTTCACAGCAGAAGTACATTCAGAAAGTCCTTGAGAAGTTCAGAATGACGGATGCCAAGCCAAGGAGTACACCTTTAGGGAGTCAGCTGAAACTCTCTAAGCAGCAGTCCCCAAAGACCAATGAAGACAAAGATGAGATGGCTAAAGTTCCTTATGCATCAGCCGTTGGCAGCTTGATGTACGCAATGGTGTCAACAAGGCCGGACATTGCTCATGCAGTGGGAGTTGTTAGCAGGTTCATGTCGAATCCAGGGAAGGAACATTGGGAAGGAGTCAAGTGGCTGCTACGCTACTTGAAAGGCACTTCTGGAACTACTCTTTGTTTCAGGAGGAATGGAGTAATTCTAGAAGGATTTGCTGATGCTGATTTGGGGGGCTGTTGTGATTCCGGGAAGAGCACTACGGGTTACATATTCACAATTGGAGGTACGGCGATCAGTTGGATGTCTAGACTTCAAAAGAGTGTGGCTCTTTCGACCACAGAAGCAGAGTATATGGCCATTGCTGAAGCGGCCAAAGAGTTGATCTGGTTGAAGAACTTTCTTTCGGAGTTGGGCATGGAACAGGGGGATTGCGGTCTATATAGTGACAACCAGAGTGCTATTCATCTCGCGAAGAATCCAGTGTTTCACAGCAGAACGAAACACATCAAGATGCGATACCATTTTATCCGAGAGTTGATTGAAGACGGTATCATAAACTTGAAGAAGATCCTTGGTACGAAGAATCCAGCAGACATGCTTACCAAGGTGGTGACAACGGAGAAGTTGAAGCTATGCATGACTTCAACTGGCCTTCCAGATACTTGATGGGAAGGTGTGAACGAGAGATAGAGATCAGGGGTGTTGCAGAGGATACATGTTCTTGGATGGCAGATGACTGTTGAACAAGCCTCCAAGTGGGAGATTGTTGAAGATGGAGCCTTGTTTGGAATGCAGGAGTATATACCCGATCGGGTATGTTGGGTTACCCGATCGGGTATGAGGTGTTTGATGGGTCGAGTATTTCCCTGGTTTCTACACTCGATCGAGTATTGATCATTACTCGGTCGAGTATGCGTGTAAGGGTTACTCGGGTTATATTCTGGAGTTTATACTCGATCGAGTATGGAGGTATACTCGGTCGAGTATGTGTAAAAACACTACTCGGGCAGAATTCTGGAATCTATACTCGATCGAGTATGTATGTATACTCGATCGAGTATACGGGAAAAATTAATGACGGGATTAATTTTTGGGCCTGCGGCCTTAACCCTTATTTAGGCTTTCTTAAACCTATTTAAACATCCCTAATGTATCTGTAAACATACCAGACGCTGGAATAATAATACATCTCTCTCTCGTTCGCCGTGGACTAAGCGTAATCACACCGATTGCGTGAACCACGTAAATTCTTGTGTTCTTGCTTTAAATTTATCGTTTATCTTAACCTAATCGTGATAATTAACATAAACCTCCATTTTAAGCTAAAAATATCCTCATATTAAATCGTAACATTTTCTTTTATTGTTTTCCTTTTTTTCTTGAATTTCATTTTTGAGACTTTAGTGAAATACGGAGAAGAAATTAAGATGTCCTTCGGCTATTGAATTTTTACTGTTTCAAAAATTAAATTATTTACCTTATTGGATTTGAGATTATAAGATGGGACCGGGTGAAACGTTTCATTGGTCATTCATTAAAATTAATTTCTTGTTTATTTAGTTGAGAAAAACTATAGCATATGTGATTAAAATATGGACTTTTTATTAAAATTTGTCTAAAGAGATTATTAAATTGTTTGAAATTGTATGATCTTATATGACCACCACAAAAAAAATTTATGGGATTGGCTGATTGGCACAAATTGATCGATGGTTTCGTGTCAAATAGCTCGTACTAAAATGGTTTTGACATGAATTTTACATATCCCTGTCAAATCTTCTATGAATTTTGGCGAATCCCTACGAAAAACCTAAGTCAACCCCATACTTTTTTATGTGATGTGATAGACATCTTTCTACACGTTTTTAGTATTGTCTAATTCTTGTCGGACCCAATCTAATATGATCTTGTTTGATTTGATTTTATTTAGGTATGATATGATTTCAAAGTGATCAGTCTACTATAGTAAAACAAAGACTTCTTGCAAAAAACAAAACAAAGACTATTGGGCTATCTTTTTTTTGGTTTTTTAGACTACCTAATGATACTATTTTATACTCCCTATATATTTTCTGCTAGAACTATAATTTCTTTTGTTACAACTCTCGCACCATTCATTAAAAATGCATACTATTTCAAACTCATTGTTTTAATTTAATATAGTTAGAATTATATGAAACATTTCTGCACACTTTAAAATATAAAAAATATTTAAAATAAAGATTATAGTTTCATTTTTACAATATTAAACATTGATTAAACATTGATTGTACACCAATAGCTTGAAATATTATTTTAGTTCAACTCGAGTGGAAAATCTAAAATACACTATTTGTATTACACAATTTTAACTCAAATAAGAAAAATGAACACTCATGTATATATCCTTTTCTGGCGACTATTCTTATTTCTCCTCCAGTTAAACACCTCTTTCTCTACCAAACACATATATTCCACATTCTTGTATCACATAAGAGGGGAGCCCCAAAAAATAAAAATAAAAAATAGGAAAAATTGATTGTAATAATCCCAACTATTGGCTGTCCGCTCATAATAATCCTAACTATTGATTATTCCAGAATAATCCCAACTTTAGGGACCTTCCGTCAATAATGGTCCATATAAATAAATTCTTGTAGTTTTTTAAGTGGATGAGATGAGATATAACAAGTAATCCTTATAACTAATCTTAATGTTTAATTTTTACGTTTAATTTCTATTTAAAATTCACTTGTTATAGGAGGTAATATCTGGTCATGGACCATTATTAGCGGACGGTCTATATAGTTGGGATTATACAAAAATAATAAACAATTGAGATTATTGTCGGCGGACCGCCAATAGTTGGAATTATTATTTTCAATTTTTCCAAAAAAATAAGCCCAATATTCATTTCCAACAAACCAAAAGTCCAATAGGGAGTATTAATTAAAGGCTTGAGGAAGCCGAGCAAACATTTCTGGATCCATTAACATCTATCATCCACAAACGGTCGAACGCTCAGCACACAGCACAACAGCAGCGCCACTCAGCCAGCACGCCTCTTCAGCATCGGCGCTTCTCAATTTTCACTTCCAACCATCTGTACTCCCGGTATTTCTTCAGTCCTCTTTTATTGATTAGCTCAATAATAATTTAGTTAAACACTTAAATTAGTGATATCATTGTTTGATGAAACCTAAGTAAACGGAGAAACTCATTTTAATTTCCCACATGTGTCACCAGAACGACAGAACCATTCAGAAAAACATAAGATATCAAATCTTTACCTAAGATCCCAAAATGGCAGAAATTTATGAATGTTTCTATTTTCAGAAAACGTGTCACTCTGCCAGTCAAAAAACACTCCAGAAATCTGTTAGCCTAAAAGTTGTGTTTTCGTATATTTGCTTTTTGAGAGGTTTTTATTTTTGTTAGAAATTAATTGGACTCAGTATAATTTTATAATATTATTTAGTTGTTGTACCTAACAACTGGATGCCATCTTTCTGGTAATCAAAATTAAACATGAAAAGAGTATTCAATGGAGCATATTTCTATATTTCTTTGATTCGTATTTTGTTAAAGAACCCAATTAATGTGGAATTTGTTTTCATAATCTAAGCTTTATGTACCCTTCAATTTATGTACCCAGTAATAAGAAACTTAAGTACCAGCAGCAGTGTTGAAGACAAATATATGGAAGTAGTCAAATTTGATCACAAAATGATACTGGAAAAAGTATAAAATTCTTTTAATACGTAAAATAAGTTCTACCATTTTTATACTACGTATAAGAAATCCAAGTTATTAATTTAAGATTAGTTTTTTTTTTCAATTACATTTTGTTGAAGTACAATTTTTTTTAAATGTCCAATTGATGACCAAAGCACATTTTTAAGATTCATTAAGAAACTAACCAAACTGTTTAAATTTTCAACAGAATCTACAAAAGAAAATATTAAAGAAATTATTCATTATGCAAAGCTCAAGTGAAAGTAGAGATGATTATCCATCACTTCTCAACAACATCTTTAAAACCAACGACATATGTGAGTCTTACAGAGTTACAGGTCACCTTCTGTCTTGTCTTGTCTGTTGGTCATCTTTAGCTTTTAGATAATGCTTCTTATGAGGACAGTTAGGATGTTTTTACTTGGACTGTAATTTGTCCTTGACCAGTCCAGACCAGTTCAGACCAGACCAGACCAGACTTGGATAGTTATAAAAATACAAAGAAACCAGACCTTACCAGACCAGTCCAGTTCAGACCAGACCAGATCAGACCAGACCAGACCAGCAAATTACAGTCCAAGTAAAAACATCCTTACTGGTAGAGATAACATTCTACCTTAAAATGTTTGAAGCTAAAAATTACACTTATCAGTGATTGCTGATGAACCATCTAGCAAACTGCAAGTAGTAATTTAAATATGTTATAAAATGTTATATATTTTTTATGCTTGAAAATGTTTGAAGCTAAATATTACACTTACCAGTGATTGCTAATGAACCCATCTAGCAAATTGCAAGTAGTAATTTGAAGATGTTATAAAACCTTTGATGCTTACTATTCTTAATGGGAAGTATGAAATGTTCAGAAAATGTACACATGTAGAGGGTATGGAATGTTAGAAGTAAAGTGCTCAATTTTCTTCGTTTACATAACTTACTTTTGTTTAATGTTAAAAGATACATACCTCTCTTAAGTCTCACCTACAACCATTGGAAATGAGTCAACTTTGATTCCCGTAGAAATACTCTAGTTTAAATTTATGGGTTATCCGGGATAAATTGTATTTTCCTGAACAGAGTGTATCTAAAATGGAGTGTCCAATTCCATTCAAGTGGATGCTACAATTTATTCTGAAGAAGCTCTTGGTTGAGTGAAATTGCTTTTCTTTTGTGTGTAGGTGTTTGAAGGCGGACTGGAAACTTGACTAAAGATCCATGTGATGGTAGATGTGAGTATACTCTTTATATAGGCAGCAATGGAATTCGAAAAAACAAGGGTTATTATGTTGCCTTTAATTGAAATGCATCCAGAATATTTATTCGTCCAAGGCTGCATTGGACACCTAATCAAGCCGCTATCGAGATTGGAAGAGATTTTAATTGAAGTATTCCACATTGAGAACGTGAACGGAGTCTAGAAAAATACTTCAAAATGGCCTCCAAGCCTCACTCCATATTTAATTGCATTAATTCTTGAACCTTGATAAGGCAATAAATTAGTTTATATTGTTTACACTCTGAGGCCATTTGGCTTATCAGGCTTATCAGCCAATTTTTTCACGGGATAAGGGTCAGATAGGGCCTCGAACTTGGAAAAAAATGTCAAATAAGGCCATATTTAGGATGCTATGTCCGGCTGACGTCATTTAGGGCGGTTCCCGCTGGAATTTTTTGATGGAATTTTTTGAGAATCTTATTCATTAAGTCTAGTTTACTCATGTCAAATTTGAACTCAAAATTCAATCGGGAAGACATTCAAATTAATTCTTGAAGATAACTGCGCTTTTAACTGCACAGTTATTTTCAAGAATTCATTTGAATGCCTTCCCGATTGAAGTTTTAGTTCAAATTTGATATGAGTAAACTAGACTTAATGAATAAGATTCTCAAAAAAATTCATCAAAAAATTCTACCGGGAACTGCCCCAAATGGCATCGGCCAGACAGAGCATCCTAAATATGGCCTTATTTGACATTTTTTTTCAAGTTCGAGGCCCTATCTGACCCTTATCCCATTTTTTCACCAAACACGTAATTTTTGCTCTCGCGCGCTGAATTGTGTAATAAGCATAAAAGTAAGGTTGAAGTTACTTTTCTGACTGTATTGGCTGAATTTAGTAGATGACCATTTTAGCTATTTTTACATATAATTTTTTCATTATTTTATTAATAAATATATTTTAAAAATAATTTTTTCTTAAATTAACAGAATCTGTCAATGCAGCCACTTCAGCCAGAACTTCATAAATTTCAGCAGAATCAGCCAAAGCAGCCGTTTTTTGTGCTACCAAACGGACTTTCTGTCTGCATGTATTTTTGTGCTACAACCTAGGGGAGATAAATATATACTCCGTATAACAAAGAATACAAAATTAACTACTAATGCTTTGGAAAAATTAAATGCTTTTTTATTCCACCAAGACCTAGATAAATGAAATACATCATTGCAACGTTTTTTCACTCGTACTACATTCTTTACCCTCACTTTCCCGCCCAAAATCCCGCCCAAACCTTCTCCACACTTTTCTGTTTTACTATATATATAGATATAGATAGACCTAAAATTGTACTCCGTAAGTAATTGCAATTTCACCCGATAATTTGCAAGGCTCATAGTACTGCTTTCTGGATGCCACGTGGAACAAAGGTCTTGTAGAGTTGACCTCCCAGGCATAAGCGAAATCTCGATGTGCAATTCATCGTCGTCGTCTACATCTACGAAATCATGGCTGATTCACGCCCTGGCCGCCGGAGCCGCTGTTGCTGTAGCTGTCGGCGCTCACAGATACCTTTCCAGATCCTACAAGTTTCGTAGTCGGGTTGTCGGAATCATACCAGCTCGTTTCGGCTCCACTCGGTTCCCGGGAAAACCACTCGTAAATATCCTCGGCAAGCCCATGATCCAGGTACTATAACTAATCTCATCTTTGCGTTACCCTCAATTCTTCACTGTATCTGCTTTTGCTGACTTGTCTTCGTATAACTTGTTGTCATTTGTGGATATTGTCTGAAATTGTATTGATCAACTAATTTAACAGAAGTTAATATTGAAGCGCTTGTAGATTTCATTCCAAAGTGGTCTCTTGTAGAGTTCCCATGTTTGTTTGGAATGATATCAATTTAACAGTTGAGTTCAACTGAATTTCGTACAAGTATACAACTATGGTGGGGGAAACAATAATCCTACAGAACGGATGGTTTCGCTGGTAATAGTTGGGTTACAAGATTAGGTGAAGAAATAAAAGAAAGGAAATAGTATTGGAATGAAGATTTCATTTCGAAATTCCACCTTTTTGGCCTTTTGTTGGAATTTGGATTTAGTTATAATGAATTCCATGGAATTCGAGAACTGGAATTGCAGTGAATAGTGTAAATTTATTTTGCACTCCAAACAAAAAAAAAATGAATTGTAAAATGAATCCCAAAAAAATCTTTTTTAGATTCCGAACAGCCAATAATCTAGAATTGCAATTTGCAAATCAATTCCTTAATATTTGTGAACTTCATTTATACCAAAACATGCTGTAAGTGTCACCATTAACCTTTTATGTTATCTTACTTGCAGAGAACGTGGGAAAGGGCTAAATTGGCCAGGACATTGGATCATGTTGGTAATGTGCTTCATTTAGCATACTGTGAATGGACTAATTTTTGTGGAGGATCCTTAACATATTGTTCATTTACTGATAGTTGTGGCAACGGATGATGATAAAATTGCTGAATGTTGTAAGGGATTTGGTGCTGAAGTTATTATGACATCTGAATCATGTAGAAATGGTAAAATCGCCATTCCATCACTCTTTGTTTTTTCTTCGTGGTTTATAAATAGGTGGAGATTTGACTTTGCCAGTTACTTTATTTACTGATTACCGCTAGTTAAAATCCAGGAACTGAGCGTTGCAATGAAGCTCTTCAAAAGCTTCAAAAAAAGTATGACATTGTTGTTAATATTCAAGGAGATGAACCACTTATTGAACCTGAAATTATTGATGGCGTCGTTGAAGCCCTTCAGGTAATGTAAACAATGTAAAAATGATCCTATCTTACTGACACTGAAAGGTGTTGAGTTTATATAATTATACATTTTCACTCATACATAGTTCTTAAGAAACTACAATGCTGTTTTCAGCTTATTTATTGCATATTCTTGAATTATATATTTCTACCCCTCTCTTCATGATCCCTTCATAGGTTCTTCACTCTTCAGTATGTTTGGCTGTCATGATCACATAACTTCCTTTTCAGTATTTTTTGGGAAGAAAGAAAATAATGGAGTATACGGAGGAAGATACTTTACCTTGTCTGGAAGGAAGTAAAATAAGGATTGACTGGAACATAAGCATTATTTCTCAGTTCTTCTCTTTCTCTCAATTTGGAAGGAAAAATCACTATTTAGTAAAAACTTACCTTTTATCCAACTTTTTCAAATTTGAAGTTTATGATGTATATTTCTCAAAACATATAATATTTATTTTGTTGTTATTGTTATTAATATATTGTTAGTTGTTACTAACATATTGTTATTAATATTATTTTTTATTACTCCGTATTATTATTTAGTACTCATACTTTTTTTGCTGTTGTTCTTATTATCAACATTTTGTGAACATTATTTCCATTCTCGTTGTTATGATTACTGTTAGTAAATATTACGGAGTATTATTATCATCTTATTGTCATTGTTGACTTGTTTTTTGTTTTTTACAATAGTAACGACTCTTATTATTGTTATTATTATTAATCATTATAACTCTTTAATTATTATATTTATTATTTGGTCAGATTATATTTAATTGGTTTATTTAACTCATATGAAAATATATTCCTTACACCTTAAATAATATATAGAAAATAATTTGTTGTGATGATTCTTCACCACTACAGATACTTAATATTTTTAGTATCGTTACTCATCTTTGTGTATGAAAAATGAGTGATGCATTTCTACATGGGAAAACTGTCAAATAGGTCCTCGAACTTTCATAAAAAAGTCGATTAAGTCCTTCTATAGGAGACTCTGTCCGGCCGTCGTGATTTGAGGCGATTCCCGGTGGAATTTTTTGATGAATTTTTTTGAGCATCTTATCCATCTAGTCTAGTTTACTCATACCAAATTTCAGCTAAAAATTCCATTGGGAACACATTCAAATGAATTCGAGAACGCAAAAATGCGCAGTTATTTATAAGAATTAATTTGAATGTGTTCCCGATTGGATTTTTAGCTGAAATTTGGTATGAGTAAACTAGACTTGATGAATAAGATGCTCAAAAAATTTCATCAAAAAATTCCACCGGGAATTGCCCCAAATCGCGACGGCCGGACAGAGTCTCCTATAGAAGGACTTAATTGACTTTTTTATGAAAGTTCGAGGACCTATTTGACAGTTTTCAGTTTCTACATTAAGACCTTTCTACATTAAGAACCCGAGAGAAGATATTGGCATATTGCACTGAAGAATTTTAATTACAAAATCATGGGATCGAATATCCTTACATTAAAAGCGATTAACGTCGATCCACTTTTGGTTAACATGTTTCTTATAGTTAACATGTTTCTTATAGTTAACATGTTACGCTGTTAGTATTATTATTTTACTCAAGTAATCAGCAAGAATATTAAGGTAATTAGATTCCTAAAAAAATACTAAGGTGATTAGAGCATCACCTAAGTGGTCCGATGCTGGAGTTTTACAGAAACTACGTGGCTGATCATTCTAGTTCTTATCTTCGTAAAAGTGTAAAACTACTGATGGGACAATTCAAGTTAACATTTTGTTATTCTGGCCTTATGAGAGGTGAAGAAGTTAATTAGAGCTTTAGTAGGATTTTCGCAAGGCATTACTGAGATTGACTACATTAGCTGTGAGTGAGGACTAAAGAGAGGGGGAATCAGCCAGGTTTTTAAAAATGAACTGGCTTGGGAGGTCAACCCGGAAACCAGTGAACTGTTAATAACACCGTGCTGATTCTTAAAAACCCAATTGTCTCATAACGGGAAAACCCAATCGGCTTGGTAAAAAAGCAGTGCAGAACTAGTAGCGGGTTCCCCAGCACTTTGTTTGAGCAGTGTAAATTTATATGCATGTGGAAGGGAAGAATTTCTTCCAATGCTCCATTGTGGGAAATATGGACACGCTAGAAATCATAACTGTTGCAAATGGATTTCAAGCCTAGAAGCCTTCACCTGGAAGAGAATCAGGCTACCTACAAGGTCTATTAAAGTGTACTTCATACTATTATTAAATAGCATGTATAACATGATTAAGAACTGATTGTTCATTAACTATTATTGTTATTTTGATTATCATCAATTATATTTTGTCATTTAACTATCTACACACACACATATATAATGTAGATAAATATATTTATGTCCATAAAACATCTAACACATTTTGATTTTTTTGAAACGTTGTCATGAACTCTATCATTTGATCCAAGGACAACAACAACAAGATTACCCCAGTGCTTCTACGGCTGCCACCTATGTTGGGGTAAGGGGGTCGGATTTAGGATGCCTTACCCCTGTACTAAAGCACATAGAGATTGTTTCCGGATGACCCATGATGAAAATCGCGTTGAAAATTGCATGAACTAACCTCGTGATAGGGACCTGGGCTGTAGAGAATAATAATAGTAGTAATAGATTGATATTAAATAAGTGTGGTATTGTATAAATAAGGATTTTGGGCCATGTCATAAAATATGGGCTGGCCCATTAGAATATAATTACTATAAGAGTGGGAAGGAGAGAATAAGGGAGTAGGCAGAAATTAGTTGGGATTGGGTCTTGGAGTGCGGGAGACTACTCAAAGTGTCTCCATTGTATCTTTCTCTTCAGTTTTCATCAATTGCCATCTTAATTCTACTTCATTTTACCATCAAATTCCTGAGAACCTCACATTGCGGCTTCATATTAAAGAAGCGCAAACAATTTAGTGAGTCATTTTGCTTTATTCCATCATATTCTCAAGCCAAAAAGTAGTGAGTCTTTGGCTCCATGGTTAATGCCACTAATACACACATAAAAATCAAGTTTTTATTATTATAACTGACTTTATGTCCATCAAACATCTAACACATTTTAAAATGTCGTCATGAAATATATTGTTTTATCCTTTTATCCTTTTTTTTGCCTATATATTCCTTTTATCATTTTTATCATATCACTTTTATGTATATCTTATCTCTATTTGATATTATCTTTTTGCTTATATTTTTTTTATCATGTTAGGACTATCGATTCATGTTAGCCGATCCCAAAAGATAAGTATGATAAAAAAACTTCGACGGCGCCAAACCTGGATACTTATTTTTATTTTTAGATTCTTATCCAGGTTTGATAAAAATGACAAGTATGATAAAAAAAAAGATAAGTATCAGTTAACAGTTTTTTTGCCTATCGATTCATGTTAGCCGACCCCAAAATCTTTTGGGATTAAGGCATGAATGTTATTATTGTTGTAGTAATGATAATATAACCTTCCTCCGACCATATGGTATACAGAGTATATAACATGTTCCAAAGAAGGTAGTAAGGTAGCCAGGTAGGCAAATCCAACATGGACACACAATTCAAAACCCATTCCCTGTGTTTTAAAAACTTGACTGGCAGTCGACCCGGCCCTGCCGGGTCAGCTCGGTCAAACCTGGATAAACTCGGTCAACAAACAACAACAATAACAACCTAAGCATTAGTCCTAACAGATTTTGGGATCGGCTAACATGAATCGATCCATGATATCGGAGCCAAAAAGAAAAGAAAAAAACCAAAATAAAAAGATATTTCATATTTCGATTCATGTAATGTGATATGGCTAGGTGATACTGTTGGCCGTCACGCCCCTACCACAACACCCCTTCTCCTTTATCCTGACTTTGGACTGGCAGATACCAAAAATGATCTCATGGTGGAGTTGAAAGTTATATTATCATTATTTATTTATTTATTTATCCAAAATTGAATTACGGTAGTTTTGTATGAACGCAGGCTGCACCAGATGCAGTTTTTAGCACAGCTGTGACATCTTTGAAGCCAGAGGATGCATTTGATTCAAACCGTGTGAAATGTGTAGTTGATGGTCGTGGTTATGCAATCTACTTTTCTAGGGGACTTATCCCTTTCAACAAGTCAGTATATTTTCTTGTTTTACAAGATACAGGTTGTGAGTCGAATTTCTGATAGTAAGTAATTTGAGATTTCCAACTATGTTCAGGTCCGGCAAGGTTAATCCCCAATTCCCTTATTTGCTCCACCTTGGGATTCAGGTGACCAAACTGGACTGTTGACCTGTTGTAATTATTTTCCTGCACCATCAATTATGCTTTTGTATCAGACTGTTAAGTAAATAATTCCTTTCCACACACATTATTGATCTTAGAGCTATGATACAAAGTTCCTCAGAATATATCCAGAACTGCAACCAACTCCTCTGCAACTAGAAGAAGACCTTGAACAATTAAAGGTCCTTGAGAATGGATACAAAATGAAGGTATTGGTCTCTTGTTTGATACATCTTGCTAAAGGCATGTTTAACTAATTTAGTGCATGTTTGGTAAGACTTAAAATGGTTGAAATAGTGAAATGGCTTTAGAAGCTGTGGACGAATTGGTTTAATCTGCCGAATTATAGAAAAAACTTTAAAGTATATATACTCCCTCCGGCCCTGAAAATTCTTCCCACGTACCTTTTAGGGATGTCCCAAAAATTTCTTCCCATTTCCCTTTTTGGAAAGGTTTGTGTGGCTATCATTCATTTACCTTTTTCTTACTCAACCACTATCATACATTTCCATTTTATTCCCACTTTCTTAAACTCCGTTTCAAGTCAAACCGGGAAGTATTTTGTGGGACAGAGGGAGTATATTTTAAGTAAATTAAAGAAAAGGATATCTCAAAACAACGCAAGTGCAATGAGCTCATCTGATTGTTGTCATTTTAGCTAAAAAACAAGTAACACATGCAATGCAATTTTTTGTTAGCATCTGATTGTGCTAGTCTATGGGTCATTCGGAAACCGTCTCTTTACCCTTTAGTAAAAGGGTAAGACTGCGTACATCTGACTCCCCTTACCCCACCGAAGGTGGGAGCCCTTGCGGCACTGGGGTAATGATGATGATGATCTGATTGTGTTAGTGCAATGAAAATGGTTAAGACAAAATAGGCTCTTATTCATTCTCTTAAATTGGACAATTATAGGCCCTTGAAGTCCTTCCTTATAGGATGTCCTTGAAGTGTAGTGTGTAATGGCATTGATGATATGGTTACACTCATGTCTTATATGCAGGTGATTAGAGTTGATCATGAGGCACATGGGGTTGATGCCCCAGAAGACGTTGATAAGATAGTGCAGTTCATGCATAAACGAAACCTGTCCTAGTAGTGATTTAAACTCTAACACCCAACAAAGAAAAGTGGTTGACGCATATTCATGTGAACCATTGATCTCTTTTCTCTCTCTCGTTTTCTTTTACCACGTATATTTTATCTTCTTTATTTTCTATGTTCTTATGTTATTTTTATCTTTTATCTTTCTCATGTTTTTTTTTATATCATTTTCTATCTTTATTTTTATCTTATCCATTTCATCTTATCTTTTTTTTCTTATCTTTCTTCTCTTTTTGGCTTGAATGTTGTTGTACCAAACACTTTTTTTTCTTTTTGTTGTGGGTAGGGAGTTAAGCCCTTGCAACACTCTGCTATGGATTGAGTATGTGGTCTACCTTCTGGCCTTTCTAGGTTTTGATGAGGTTTAGTTATCCAATATTGCAATGCTTGTCAGTTGTTGTTTTTAGCTCAGAAGAATCCAATCCTACAGTTGGAGTAGAAGCTGGGGAACATTCTACCAGTTTATTAATAGAAAGAAATATTACATAGTAGGGGGATTATAGCTGAAACCTATCGATTAAAGGCAATAAACCTGTAGTTAATTCTTAATAGTGTCAAATTTAAGGATACCCATGACTGGTGAGTGGGGTTATATCTAATATAATAGAGATGTTTTTGTAGGCCACATATTCCACTGCTCTCTTATACTTTTTCATGTTGATGCTGATGTGCCAACTGTATTGACGAATTTGAGATCTCATTTGTTGGTTTTGTTCCAATACTTTCAATGATGTGTGTGTGTGTCCTGGTGAGCTTGTTGGATATGTTGGTTTTCAGTTTCAATAACAACCTATGAAAATTTAGTAACCATTGAGAGATTGAAAAATTCATAAAGAGAACTGTAGAGGTTGAGTGTGATCTCTCGTATAAATAATGTTCTGTGACTTCTGTCATATACTCATCTGGGCAATGTAGGAACCTTTGGAGTCCCGAATGAGGATACTTGACGGGAGGTTTAGTACAAATGTCTTTCTTGAAATGCGCTTCTTAGAAATGGTGCATACATTAAGGAGAGCGATCTCATCATTATTACAAGTAAAGGGATTGACAACAGAAATATAGAAAACCTTCTTAGTAATGGCTAGGGCTGAGCATGGATCTGGATTTCCCGTTGCGTATTGAGAACCATCCCGAACTCTACCACAACCGAACGAATTGGAAAAATATAATATTGTATCGTACCGTTTTTTTTAATTATGTGTTCTAAAGTGAGAGTCACCCTACAATCGTCCCAACTCCCAAACTGTATTGAACTGAACCGTCACGTCCCAAAAAATTGGTTATACAAGATAATATATATACTGTATATATTATATTATTTATTATATTAGCCAATAATTTGTATTGTGGTTACTCAAAACTTTGGTATAGATTGTATTAGGCCTAGACTCGGGCCGGGCGGCCCGACCCGGAACCGGCCCGGTGGTTCCCGGTTCCGGGCCCGGGCCTTCCATATGGTGAACCGGCCCGGCCGGTTTGGGCCCGGTCCGGGCCGGAAATATTTTTTTTTTTTGAAATTTTTTTATGTTTTGGGTTAGATTAGGTATTTTGGTCCATTTGAGGTGGTTTGGGGTGGTTTGGGGTTGAGAAAGAGGGGTAGGGGATTAAATAAAGAAGCCAAAAAAAAAAAAATAGGGCGGGTGGCCCGGCCCGGAACCGGCCACCCCCGGTTCGGGCTTGGGCCTCAATATTCTGAATCGAGGCCCGGCCGGGCCCAGGCCCGAGGCCCGAACCGGCCCGGTTCAGTCCACCCCTGGATTGTATAATGCACTCTTTGGGCCCTCAATACAATTAATTAGCGTACTATGGAGTAAATTTTATAAATAATACTAGTAATAACTAGAGAAAAGGGGCAAATAAGCCCACGTACTAACAAAAAAAGATCAAATAAGTCTTTATTTAGGAGGCTATGTCTGGCCATTGCCATTTGGGGTGGTTCCCGGTGGAACTTTTTGATAATTTTTTTTGAGCATATTATTCATTAAGTCTAGTTTACTCATACCAAATTTCAGCTAAAACTTCAATCGGGGAGGCATTCAAATGAATTCTTGAAGATAACTGCGTCGTTAAAAGCACAATTATTTTCATGAATTCATTTGAATGCCTTTCCGATTGAATTGTTAGCTGAAATTTGGTATGAGTAAACTAGACTTAATGAATAAGATGCTCAAAAAATTTCATCAAAAATTACACCAGGAACTGCCCCAAATGGTGACGGCCGGACATAACCTCCTATATAAGGGCTTATTTGACCTTTTTTTGTTAGTAGATGGACTTATTTGCCCCTTTTTCCCTAATAACTATGATACGAAACATGTAAACCCAATTTAGTTACTTGTTCAGCAATCTGGTTGCTTTGCATCCTTCAGAAGACTATAATTGTAATTTTATTACATCTTGACTTTAGTTTTGTATTTTAGTTAGGTTTGATTGCACAAGATTAGTTTAATGTAGACTCTTCAATCCTGCAATTTTTTTTTAGTTTTCTGTACAGTTGCTTATAAATGCTAAAACCTAAAATATTTTTTATTTTGTGGAAGTTAATTATTTAGAAATCGAATAGTACTGATGAATTGTACTGAACTGTTCTGAAAATTAGTATGGAACGGGATAGATGCTATATATATTAGGGATTGTATCGGTTCTTTGATTTTTAAAATAACCGTACTTTGGGATGAGACAATTTTTTTTTGAAATAATCGTTTCATATCGTCTCATGCTCACCCCTAGTGATGGCACCAATAGCCTCAGTTTTAGACTTTTAGAGTCACACTTATCATCATGAATATAACTATTTCTAGCCTTCCAAATCTGCAAGTAAATGACTGAATGAGCTTTGGAACAATATTTTTAAAATCCTTAACATTAGCTTGGTAGCCCGTATACTAGCCCAACAAGAACTGTTAGTACAATTAAAGTTCTCAAAGTTTTGTCATATGGAAGAGCTAGAAGTACAGTTCATGAAACAATGATTGACAGTGTTCTCAAAGTTTGTTTTCAATAGAGAGGAGTTTATTTTTCATAATTCACATGAGAAAGGGGATTTTCTCAGGTGTTTTAGTGTTCCAAATGTACTTGGCCATAGTCAGTTCAACTTCTTATCACACTTAAGGAGTGTTTGCAATCGCTACTCAAAAGCACTTGGAGATTTTTTTTTCATATATTTTTGAATTAAGCTTGAAATGATGTTTGTAAATCCAAATTTCAGCTTAATTTAAAGCATTTTTACGCTAGAAGTTCAAACCAAGTGTTAGGGTGCTTTTAATAGCTTCTAGATTCTTTTGTAAATATCTTCAATTTTAAGGATAATCTTAACCTAACTTCTCTCCTTATCCCAACTCTACCCCTCACCCCTTTGCTACTGCAAAAGATTCCAACCTTGCTACTTCTCATGTTCTCCATAGTTGTCCCCGCTCCAATAGTCCAATTCTTCCAGCAACATACGCGAGTAAGCGTGTTCTCCTCTCTTGTCCTAGGTGTTGTAGCGGGCAGCAGTCATGCCATCCCCAATAGCTCAATCCAATTTGTCGGCGAATTTTGGCCCCTGCTGATCCGCAAACGCAACAGCCATGCCCCATCAGCACACCTTGCCCCGTTTTCATGCCCCACCTAAATGAATGATCATATCTAGTGAACATGTTTTTCATGAAGTGTAGATTATGTTCACAAAATTTCAGCTTAAAATTCCATCAAGAAACTAAGCGAGTTAAGTAAATTAATATAAAAATATTGCGCCAATAATATACACATAAAACACACTGGCTGTCATTTTTACTACTTCACTGACCCGGCTATTTACTGATAACTTGAGTGCCACTTATGTGTGTAACAATCCCTTGTTTCACTCTCGTATGAAACATATTTCTTTGTTGGTGATGTAGTTATGGTCTTATGGATGGCGGCTCATCAGTTCATCACGTCTTGTCCAAATATCAATGTGCATATGCTCTCACTAAACCTTTGGGACAGACTGCTTTTCTTCATTTTAGGTCCAAAATCGGAGTCTCCAATAATGGATCTCCAATTTTGCGGAGAATATCAAAGATAAGACCAGTCATTAGTATTATTTATTAGTTTGTTATTAATTTAATCAGGGTAAAATAAATAATATACCCCGAACTTTGCCTTAGTGTGAGCTCCCCACCCCGAACTTGTCCTAGTTTAAAAAATACCCCCAACTTTATTTATTTAAATTTTTTGTACCATATTTTAATTAACAAATAATATTTCTCAAATTATAATATGTTAATTAGATTTAGTTGTCAAAAAAAGATTAATTAACATATTTTTTGTACTTAAATTAGAGATTTTGAAGTTATTTAATCAATTCGAAAAGCACACATTAATTTGGGAATCACACATCTTTTTTTGCCAACTAAATCTAATAAAAATATTACAATTTGAGAAATATTATTTGTTTATTAAAATATGGTACAAAAATATTAAATAAATAAAGTTGAGGGTATTTTTTAAACTATGACAAGTTTGGGGTGGGGAGCTCACACCAAGGCAAAGTTCGGGGTATATTATTTATTTTCCCCATTTAATCATGTATATGTAGTTTAACAATTTGTGTATATCACTACAAAAAAATGACGGGATTGACACGGATTTGGAACGGATTTACCGAAAAATTCGTGCCAAATAGCTCGTGTCAAACTGTTTTGGCACCGATTTGGCGCGTGCCAAAATCCCTTCCAATTTTGGAAAATCCCTGCCAAAAATCTTTGTCAATCACGAGTTTTTTTGTAGCGTATATAGTTGTAAACTTATCTGCACATGAGTTATACTTCAACTCTAACTCTTGGGAGGTGTTTACTTCACTGCTAAAGTCACAGTTAGGTTAGTAAGACAGGTGAAGTAAACACGCACACTGCTTAAAAAGCCGCTTACTAACCGAAAGAGGTGCTTAAAGTGCCGCTTATTAAGCATACCACCCCCCATGTATTAATTAAGCGGCACTTTAAACTTTTTCAGTTTCCGAATTTACCCCTTGCCCTTAACCTATTGTTATCCCTGCCCCACCTCGACCCCAACCCCACCTACCCCGACCCCACCATACCCCGACCCCACCCTACCCTTACCCCACCCTACCCCCTACCCCCACCCCACCTACCCTACCCCACCCCGACCCCACCCCGACCCTACCTACCCTACCCCACCCCGACCCCACCACTACCCTACCTAACCGACCCCCACCATACCCTTACCTACCCCGACCCCACCCTACCCCTACCTTACCTGTCCGACCCCACCCTACACGTACCCCACCTTACCCCTACCCTACCCCATTACCAGACACCCCTTACCCTACCTAACTGACCCCCACCCTACCCTTACCCCGACCCCACCCTACCCCTACCCGACCCCACCTTACCCTACCCCTACCCTGACCCAACCCAACCCTACCCCGTCCTACCCCTACCCGACCCCACCCTACCACTACCCTACCTACCCAATTCCCATCCCTACCCTACTTACCCGACCACACACCTACCCTTACCCTACCTACCCCACCCCTTACCCACATACCCTACCCCTACCCTACCCCCTACCCCGCCTCAACCCCCACCCTACCTACCTGAACCCACCCTACCACTACCCTACCTACCCAACCCCACCCCTACTCTACCTAACGACCCACCCTACCACTACCTGACCTCAATCACCCCACCCTATACCCCTTACCCCACCCCTTACCCCACTATACCTAGGGTGGTGGGGTCAGGGCGGGGCCGATGTGATAGAGGCGCTAGGGG